CTGCGGGATTAACATAGAGGATTTGGACCAATTGACAACAATTACTTAACGAAAAAATTCCCTAGAATTAAATAATCATTCTACAGTGAAATTACCTGTCTCTTATACACATCTAGATGTGTATAAGAGACAGGCATAAGGGAGTTCAAATGTAAATTCCACACACACACACACAGATAGATAAATAGATAGGTAGGCGTGTGGGCGGGCAGGCGGGCGGGTGGATAGGCAGGTTGGCGGGTTGGCAGTTCGGCGCGCAGGCAGGTCGGCGGGCAGGTGGGCAAGGAGGCAGGTGGGCAGGTGGGCAAGTGGGCACATGGGCAAGTAGGTAGGTGGGCAAGTGGGCAGGCGAACGGACAGGACAGGGGCACGGACGCACTGAAGGATGGATGGATGGATGGACAGGGCAGGGTGGCGGGTGGCAGGGGGGTGGACATGTGGTGTGGCGGGCGGAAGGATGGATGCCATTGGATGGATAGCTGGGTGGCAGGCGGGCGGTATGGCGGGTGGGCCGGCGGCCCGGCGGGCTGGCTGGCAGCTCGGCGGGAGGGCTGTTGGGACGGCTGTTAGCGAACGATCAGGTGGCCGGTTGGGACAGACACACATTGTACAAGTGATGACGATGGAGAGAGTGGCGTGGTGATGACAACGGATATGACGCAAGTAGTGGGAAGGATGATGATGATGTCAATGATGACATTCCCGTTGTTGGAGGTGGTGTCCTTGGCGCAGACAGGATCACGGTAGAGGAGGATGTTTGTCGTTCAGCACGTTTGCAGGAGCGGGATGTCAGGGGTGTAGAGAGGGGGGAGATGAGGCAGGATACCCTGAATGATTTGTTTGGTGGCAGTCTGGAGTTGGGCAATCCGAGTGTGTTGGGTCTTTGGGGACAGGCAGTGAGCACACCCATCAGTCAGGTGGCCAGGTGGGTAGACACACTCTTTGACGTCAACACACTGCTGCACAAGGGGGCGAAGGGCATGATGGATGACGGCACAAGGCGGTGAAGGGCATGATGGATGACGGCGGGCGGCATCGCAGAGGAGATGAGGGTGACTATAGACCTGACGGCCAGGATGCACGCAAGTCATCATCACACGAGCGGAGAGACCGTATAAGATTCTGAGGCTGCACACAGGATTGCACAGACGTGCCTTGTGATGCAGAGGCTGCTTGCGGAGAAGATGGCCCATCGGGCCATCGGCTCCAACATGCTTTAGAGTTGGTTGTTCCGCCTCCGGTTGTGCCCTCAAGGGTAAAGGTTGAGAGTGGTCACATGGTCAAGGAGGGGGTCACTAGTGCAGGACACGAGGAGGTTGGCGGCGAGTAGACGGAGGAGGCGCAGGATGAGGATGCAGGCGGTGCTGACTGCGGCGCTGCAGACGGAGGTAGTTGTGCCCCGGACCAGCACGAACACGATGGAAATGGGGTTAACACAATAGGTGAGGAGTATGTGAGGCCTGGGGTCCAACGGGCGCCCATGATGATACTACGGGGTTTCAGGGTGTAGGTGATGCATCAAGTCCCAATTAGGGAGATGCAGGGGCTGCAGGCACTCCTTGCAGTGGGTCCGTCCAAGCTCCTGAAGAGACTGCATAGGCTGCGGTTGGTGGGGGATAACATGCGTTATTGGATGCGATAGCTAAGGATCCTGTTGACATAGATGAGCTGAGGCATTATTCCTATTGAGATCCTCTTGTTCTTTCCGGATACAGTTAGGCGAGGTGCAGAGGTATTTCTGCTGGAATTCGCGAATCACTATATCTGTTGGGGTGTGAGGCGGTAAAGGAATTAGACTGAGAAACTTTGAAAACCGGTCAACAATCACCATGACTTGTGAAAACCCATTCTTGCTTACCTTACCCATGTCAGTGAAATCGATGGAGACGGATTCCCCGGGACCATCAGGAATGGGTAGGGGTGTGAGTAGCCCCATGGGCTTTTGTCTGCATGGTTTGATTCGTTGACAGACTTGACATTCAGCTATAAATTTCTCAGCAGTCCCTTTCATACCAGGCCAATCAAACTGTCTCAGCAAATTAGCGTACGTTTTAGCCATGCTGAAGTGTCCGCTCCGGCCATGAGCCAAGTCCAAAAAGTGTGTGCGGAGAGGCTCATGGTTGGGTACACACAAACGGTCATGGTTCCCGTATCGGCCAAAAATCAGTCCTCCATACTCGTGGAAATCAGGCTGACTACTAGAATCAGCCCGCAGCTGCTCAAGGATGGAACTAAGTTCCAGATCCTTGGTTGTCTGCTTTACGAGTTCCTCCTTCAGTTTCTTCCGGAGGTCGTAGGATTTCACAACGCAAGTCATGTACTCAGGGTGGCGAGACAATGCGTCAGCGACTCGATTGTAACAACCCTTTTTGTGTCTGAGTTCAAAGTCGAAGATGTCAATCTCATGAAACCAGCGAAGCAAGGTAGGGGACAGAGTAGTCTGCATTTTGATCCACTTCAAGGTCTCATGATCCGAGAACACTTTGAAGTGGCGTCCCAACAGGTAATGTTTCCAGTGATCCAATGTCATGCGCAAAGCGTAGAGCTCGCGCATGTAGGTGGAAGTGGCAACCTTTACGCTGGGCATTCGTTTGCTGTAGTACTCGAGTGGCCGCAGGCCGTCGCCATCATCTTGTTGCAGCACCGCACCGATCCCATACTGACTTGCATCTGTAGTAACTACGAAGGTCAGTTTTGGGTCTGCAATGCGGAGTACCGGATAACTTACCAAGGCTTCCTTGAGAGTT